GACCATATTTCAGCAACTCTCAGATGTCATTGATGATGGGATGCATCTTTATGTACCTCTAAGAAGGAAAAAAAATGCTGCCAATTAAACCCAGACCCAGGGCTTTATTATCCCTTAGAATTTTCCTTTTATACATATTCAGAGAGCTCTCTTGGACTTACTCAGACAGAGATGTGTATCCTTTATCACCATTGTGCACACATAAAATGGAAAATATCCATAAACTAAATTGGTTAAGACATCCTGAAAGGTCTTCTCATTCACAGTTTGACTCTTAAGACTGCCTTTTCAACATGGAGCTATTGATGTTTGTGTTTCTTCACACAATACCATCTTCTAGGACATCAACAGAGCAGGTGACGCAACATTTCTTGAAAGCAGGCCTCTGTCACTCTCCGTGAGATTTTTTTTTTCTTTTCTTTCAAGCAGGCACCCAGGCTGCAAGTTTTGATGCCGGCGTATTTTCATCTTGCCAGAAGGTACCAGGGAATGACAACCGTGTCACATTGTCAGGAGGCCCACAGCAATTGCGAGGCCCTGACAAGGCCTGACTGCAGAAATATGGAAACCAAGGCAAGGGAGGGCACACAGCGTGTTACACACGTACGCAGCCCCGGATGGTTGGGGCGTGCATCTCCTGAGGCTCCGGATTGCAACAAATGCAAGAAGAGCGAGCCTGGGTCCATGTGGTCTCTGGTTTGCATTCTGGTTCCAACCGCATCACTGCTTAGGTGTTAAGTGCCCTCGAGTCAGTACTGATTCAGAGCGACCACGTACAGCAGAACGAAGCATGGTCTGTTCCCGTGTCATCACAAGCATGGCTCCATTAGAGCCCCCCTCAAGCAGCCACTGTGTTGCTCCGTCTCATTGAGGGTCTTCCTCTTTCCATCTGCTTTACCAAGCACGATGTCCTTCTCCAGGAACTGGGCCTTCCTGATGAGCACGTCCACATCACATGAAATCTCAGCTTCCTCCCTTCCAAGAACATTCTGGCTCTGTTTCGTCTGAGACAGATTTGTTTGTTCTTCTCAGTGTCCGCAGTACATTCCATTTTCTTCAGCAACAACAAGATTCAAATGTGTCGATTCTTTTTCACTCTTCTCTTAGGTGCCCGGCCTTCGCATGCATATTAACACAAATCCTCTCCCTGGGAGTCCATTCTGACCCCTGCAGACACTCCATGGGTTTTCTGAAGCTGTACATATTCACAGCACACTGCCCATCTTTCTCCCACGAAGCACTTGATGGATTCGAACTGCTCACTTCCTGGCTGGTGACACAGCATATAGCTCACTCTGCCACATGCATATTGTTGTGGTGGTTGTTGGGTGCCTTCGAGGTGGAACCCACAGGGAGCGGACCATCCAGTGGGTTTTCAGAAGTAGTAAATGGAACAGGGGGAGATTTCTTATCCTTCTCTCATGAAGCAGCTGGGGGATTCAAACCGCTCATGTCTTTGGGATTGCATGATAGCTTCTTACCACTAGGCCACCAGGCTCCATTACATGCATATTATTATTGTAAGCCATCGAGTTGGGACTGGCCCATAGCTGACCCCTCCAGAGGGTTTTCAGAGGCAGGAAATCTCACGGGAGGAGATGCCTATCCTTCTCCGGCAGAGCTCCTGGTAGATTTGAACCGCCTGCCTTTGGGACTGCATCGCAGTTTCTTACCACTCAGCCACAGGAGCTGCATTACATTCCTATTAGGCAATTAAAAATACCATGGCTTGGGTCAGGTGCATTTTATTCCCTAAGGTGGTATCTTTGCTTTTTAAAACTTGAGCGAGGTCTTTTGCAGAAGATTTGTCCAATGCATCATTTGATTTCCTGACTGTCGTTTCTATGGGTGTTGATTAATCAAGGTAGACTGGGCTATATACGCTGCAGAACTCCACAATCTCGGTGACTTAGCGCAATAAAAGTTGATTTGTCTTCACAGACATCCGCCGCAGATCAGGATGGTTAACTGCTTAGAGACTGTGGTTCTACCACTGAGCAGAGGCCCCTGCGTTACCACAGAAGAGGAGAAGAAATCACTCAGGGCTTTTCACAGCTCCCGGCTCAAGTCCCAAGCTCCCTTCCACCCTCCTTTTATTGCTTAGATACAATCACTTGGTCCCCCCCCCCCAGGGGCTCTTACCCATCCCCATCTGCTTCTCCTATCTTCCAGCCCTTCAGCATAAGGTTTCTCCCCAGGGGAGACTCAGAAAGGAATGCTCGGTATCTCTGGTAGCTTTGAATTCTGGCCCCAGATCTCCCAGATCCCTGCTGCGTGGCCCTCACTATGTGAAAAGTCCTCTCTGGGGCTCAGTGTCCTCAGCAGGTCTCAGCAGGAGTCCTCAGCTCCAGCGCCAGCAAGGTAGGTGGCTTCTCAGGAGCCCACAGATGCCAGGCTCCGGGGCTTATGTGGAAGAGCTCCTGGTTTCCAAGAGATGATGAAAATCTCCGATATTCTAACTTGAAATATGAGCAACTAATTCTCAGGAAGAAATGAGCTCCGTGTTCACCAGATAAATAACATCCAAGGGTGAAGTTTGGGGCCAGTTTGCCACCTGAAGTACATGCATCTGTGCAGCAAGAGGTAGGGCCCTGCCCCTCTCAATCAACGCTTCTGGGTTCGGTCTCTGTGTCAGGATTGGGGTGGCCCAGCAGTAAGCTATCTCACCCACAGATCCACAGGACAGCTAGAGGGGCTGATCTGGGAAGAGGGGAGGTCAGATTTGTGACCTAGTGGTAAAACATTGCACTGCAATCCCGAAGGAATGCAGTTTGAATCTACCAGCCGCTCCGCAGAAGACAGATGGGTCATCTTTTTCCATGTGATCTACCGCCTCCGATAACATGCTGGAGGGTCAGCTATGGGTGGGTTCTGACTAGACGGTTCAACAACAACACTGTCAGTTAGGAAGCCGCTGGGCTCCTCCACTGGTGTCAGCTGATGTGATTACTAGAAATACTAAGTGCAGAGACATCAACTCAAATGACTACAGCAGTATGGCCTGGGCTACACGACCATGAACTAGAACCAGGCCTTGCTCTCAGGAAGCTCACACGCAAAATGCACACATGCGTGCGCGCACGCACACACACACACACACACACGACTGGAAAGTAGGCAACTGCAATAGAGGATGTGGCATGCCACCTGCCAGAAGATTATGATGGCTCAGAGGAGGGGCACTTTGCCCAGGTGTGAGGCAGTGAGAAGGCTTTTTCCAGGCTCTATAAAGTGTGTCAGGTAAAATTCTGGAGATATAACAGTGTGTCACGTGGAGAAGGCTGAGTCCCAGAGAGGCAGGAGTCTGATAGATGGGGCTGGGGCTGGAGGTAGGGGGGATGACGGGCAGGATCCCTGTCCACGGTCTCTCCATACCCAGGGATGTCTGTGCCCCGGTATACCTCCAGGTAACAGTTGGCAATGGTCAAAAATGATCTACCTGGTGGATCCCTACCCTGGCCACTCATTCAAACAATCTACAGAGCTTTCAGAAGTTGCATGGTGTGGCCAACCAGAACCTCAGAGGTGAGTTACTGGCCTTATTGGTTTTGTTGTTGTTTCATCCAAACTGCTTCTTATTAATTTCAATGCAAGTTTACAGAGACCTAGGATTTCCAGTCATTCATTGTGGCACCTTTCTCCCTGCCCAACTCCCCCAAATCAATCCTCTCCCCAAAAGAAAAAGAAAAACTCTTTCATTGTTATGCAATCCCTCCCCCCAAGTTCACTCCACTATGCAGCCTTCACTCTGGACTTCTGTAATGACAAGAATACCCATTCATATACCCTTCTAAACATCTCTCTCCCTCATCTGTTTCAATGCAATACACATCATTCCTCTCCTCTTTTTCTGTCTTCCCTCAATCCCGATGTCAGTCCCATTTTACAAGAGTGGCCCTATGCATATTTGTCCTTTCGTGACTGAGATATTTCACTCAGCTTAATGTCCTTCAGGGTCACCCCATTTTACATAATATTTCATGAGTTCCTTGTTTTTCAATACAGCCTAATATTCATTCCATTGTGTGAATATACCAGAGCTTCTCTACCCATTCGTTTGTTGATGGGCACTTGGGTTGTTTCCAGCTCTTTGCCATAGTGAACAGAGCTACAATAAATATGGGTGTGCATCTATCTGCTTGGATGGTAGTGATGGTTTCTTTAGGGTAAATTCCTACTGGCCTTACAGTTAATTCCAAGAGACAGCCAAAGCAGCGACCTGGGAGTCAGAGGACTGGATGTTCCCATCATGCACTTAGGTTCCTACTGTGTGCCCCACTAGTGGCTGTTCCATCCTCATAACTTCGCCTTGAGATTAGCCCATCATCTTCATTTTCCTGAGACTTACTTAACTAAGAGTGTGAGGCAGGAGATTTACCTTGATCAGAGAATTCTGGCTGGAGGTGGAATTCTAAACAAATCAGACTGACCCACTCTTAACCAATGGGGTAAGACGATGGAGGGAAGACGGATAGAAGGATGGATGGATGGATGGATGAGAGATGAATGGAAAAGTCGGTGAGTGACGCATAAAGGCATGAATGGAAGACAAGAAGGATGCTAGATGTTGGGCTGGATAGGTCAATGAATGAAGGGAATGGAAAAGGAATAAGAAGAAAAGCAGAAAATAAATGGATGATAAATAGAAGAACATCCGAGAGGAAGGAATAATGAAAGAAGGAAGCAGAGGGTAAAATAGACACGGAAGAAAAGTAGTGCGGAGGGGTGCTGAGGGGATGTAGTTAGGAAAGGTGCCTGCATTAATGAAATAGGAGCCTGGAAAAAAGAGCAATATAGGAAGGAGCTACCGCCCAGGAGGAGCGCTGGTCCAGGGCTGCGGGTGGGAGCGGCAGGTGGGAGAGGTGGGTCCCGGGGGCGATTTCTGGGCCCTGTGCTTGCTCAGGTTGCCTGCACCGCCACAGGCTCTTTCATCCCTTGGCCTCAGATGGGACAGACGTGGTCTGCATACAGGAGGGCCCGCTGATGTGCTGCATCCGCAGGTCCTTGCTGCCCCCCACCGGCGGCTTGCAACACTGCAGCGAGGGCTGCCCCGGGCCCGGGATCCTCCCCTGGCGGCCTCCCTGCAGCCCGCGCCCACTGTGCAATGGGCTCGGCCACCTCCCCAGGCGCACTGCCTAGCAACCGGTCCTAGCAACGGGCCCTAGCAACCGGCCCTTCCCAGGTACGCTTCCCTCCCCGCCGCCAACTCCCCCGCTGCAAACTTCCCAGCCCTGGTCTGCAACCTGCAGCCAGCAAGTAAGGAACCATCTCTCGAAGCTCTTCCCCGCCTCCGTGAAAAAAGATAGGGGGAGGAGATGGGGGAGCAGGAAATGGTTTAAGTTAATTTAAATTGTGTCAGCCGCAGGCAACAGTCCAGGAACAGGTTTTCCTTTTTTTTTTTTTTTTTCCTTCCAAGAATCTTGTGGGAAGGATCAATGGAAGCACTTTGCTGCAGCCCAGCGGTTACTGAAAAGTCACACCAAGCATCTCAGGGAGGAGAGGGCTCTAGTTGGCCCAGGGTGGTGGAACCACTCAGACTGGGTCTAACAAGTCCAGGGGTCCCCAAGGAGCAGTACCTTACAATGCCTAAGGGCTCCCCCTTTGCCAGGCGCTTTGCCTGCAAATAAATCAGACCAAAAATTAAAAAAATTTTAAAAATTAGGGCCAAAACAGGTGGATTCTGATAGAAGGAAACAGAAAGGTACCAGAGAACCTCAAATTCCTAAAAGAAAATTTAAAGTAGATCTACTGGATTGGTTGAGATTCCCAGAGACTGTTGTCCTGATGTCTTTTTCAAACCCAAAACCAAAACGAATCCCCAAGATCACCTCGTGGATAAATTACAAAAGAGCTCACAAAATCCTATCACTGTCCATTTGTGACTAATATCACTCAGCCAGCACACTTTGTCCTAGATTCGTCCATATTGGGCAGTATTTCACAAATTCTTGGTCGTTTTTCAGTGATGCATAATACTCCACTGTGTGATGTACCAGTTTCTTTAGTTATTTGCCTGTTAATGGACACATGGGTTGGTTCTTGTTCTTGTAAATAACGCTAAGACAAACATCTGTGCAGTGTAAGACCACTAATAGAAAAAGTTAAGGCAGGATTTACACACAGCTAGGATCAACCTTGGAGGGTTAACAGGGACAAGAAAAGAGGTAGGAGGGAGAAAAAAATAAACAGACAAGTTGGGTGAAGGGAAAGGCAATATGCAATAGAAGTTTGATTAGATATTATAATTAAATCTATTAATAAATTTTAATTAATGTTTTTACAACTATATGAACAAATGAAAACACAGCATAATTTGTAAATTTTCAAATAAAGCTTTTACGTATCAATTTTAAAGTAAGAATTATTGTTGTTGTTATGTGCCATTGAGTCGTTTGCGACTCATAGCGACCCTATGAAAATAAGAATACATAATAATAAATAAAGCCCATAGGTACTGTACTTTTAAAAAACATAATCTATATCTTTTGAATCACTTGTTATGTATCTGAAAGCTGGACAATAAATAAGGATGACAGAAGAAGAATTGATGCCTTTGAACTGTGGTGTTGGAGAAGAGTGCTGAATATTCCATGGCCTGCCAAAGAACAAATATGTCTTGGAGAAATGACTGTTAGAGAGCTCCTCGAAGGAGGATGAAGCTTCGTCTCACATACGATGGGTATGTTGTTAGGAGAGGCTTTTCCTTGGAGAGGGACATCATTCTTGGAAAGCTGAAGGGTCAGTGAAAGAGAAGACCAAAATGGATTGGCACATTGACAGCATCACTGGGCTCAAGTGTGTCAGAAATGATGAGGACGGCACAGGACAGGACAGGATTCAGATCAGGGTGACTGTGAGAGGTACTCAACTCTACAGAACCTCACAGCAACAACGTGAGACCAAATGATCAACAATTACTATAAAACAAAGTTGAGAAAGTAAAGGGTGAGAGAAGCTAGAGTAATCAAAGTATACTAACCAGAACAGAGCTAATGAGATTGTTCTTGCCCTGAAAAGGCTACAATCAATGGCATTCACCACTTTGTGTAGAAATCATTGAATGGGAAACTGAATTGCTATGCCAAGTTTCATCAGAAAGCCAAGCTTGCCTTTTTTATTTTAAAGGAGATCCTCCTGGCTTGGCCTCTGGCTGGCTCTCCACCCTCTTCTCACAGGACTCTTCCCACTGCTTCTCAACCATCCAGCATGCCTGCCTCCTCTCGGTCCCTCAGACACGCAAAGCCAGAGCCTCCTCACTGCTGCTGCCCTTGCCGGGCCATCCACCCAGGGACATTCTTCCCAGCATTCCACACAGCTACCACTGTATTCTTGAGTCTCAGCCTAACCTCCATCTCCTGGAAAGCTTATATAACAACAATCAACAGCAACAACTGGTGGCATTATCCATAGGGAGTTGCACTGTTAACACAAAAATCTGTGCTTCTCTAGCAGCCTGAATCCATCAGGAGTCTGAAGGAGAAGGATGGGCAATCTCTTCCCATGCAATTTACAGGCTCAGAAACTCAATGGAGGATCAGCTGTGAGTCAGTGCTGAGTCAACAGCAATGAGAGACAGGCAGAGAAAAGGTCACAAGGAGAAGCCGAGGGCACTTGCCAGAACCTCAAAGGCTTTCCCAGGACACACACAAGTGACACTCATTCTTCTTCCCCAGAGAAACCCACCTAAGACATTTGGGACCTGTTGTTGGTGTGCGGGGCTGAGTACAGTTGACTCAACTCATAGCTGACCCTCCAGCAAGTTTTTAGAGACTATAAATTGTAGGGGAAGAGATTGTCCCTCTAACCCTCAGAGTAGCTGGTGGATTCAAACTGCGTGCCTTTGGGTTGAGAGCCCAACTCCTTACCACCAGACCACCTGAGCTGCCATCCATAGAGAGTACTGTTGTTGTTGTTGTTGTTGTGTTGTGTACCATAGAGTCGGAACCTACTCATAGTTGACCCTCAGTCAGGTTTTCAGAGTCAGTTAATTGCACGGGAGGAAACTGCCCGTCCTTCTCCTGCAGAGCAGCTGGTGACCTCGAACCGAGTGCCTTTGGGATTGCAACACAACTTCTTGCCACTAGGCCGGAAGAGCTTGGAGTAGTCCTAGAGACACAAAATAATGAGAGAGCGTTTTCTAAGTTGGTTCCTAAGTCTGAAGAGTCTTGACCGTGTAGATGGCTGTGCCTTCCATTATGAGTAAAGAGGGCTCAGCAAATCCATCGCTCGAGGTGACAATGCTGATACATGAAGTATCACCACCCACAGCCAAATATCAGTAAGAAGTGAGGCTCTTCTTGGTCTCTCAGTTTGCATTCATCTACACTTGTGTCAAAATGAGAAGTTTAGGGAAACCACTTGGGTTGTCTTGATGACGCAAGACAGAGCAGTGGGTGGGAGGGATGAGAGGAGCTCAAGGATTTCAAGTCACAACTCAAGCATTGCATAAGACGCCTTAAAGTTTCCAACAGCACTTGAAAGTCTCATGTTGTAACAGAATTGATACTGCTGAAAACCAAACCCAAAAATCTTACTCTAAGAGTGACGGAATTACAACCATAACTGAAGGTTGTCTGAAGTGAAAGGGAGGGGAGTGATTGGGCAGGAAGGGGATCCTAAAATTTGGAGTGGGGATATAAGAGTAGACATCAGAAAACTGGGATTCTAATCCACTAAATTTTAGAACCAGTCCTGCCGACAGAGCCAGTGCTCCTACCCCCATCTGAGGGATTAACCCCACTGTACTTAAAGAGTCTTTGTTATTTTGATTTTGGCGTAACCTGGGGCATTGTCTGGGGCATCCCCTGAGGGGAAAGCCTTTCAAGAATTTGTCAAATGTTCTGAAGAACAATCTTTCCCTTCTAGTTTTTATTCTAGACCCCAAGCTAGAGTTAAATCCCAGTGAGGCCAGAAAATGATAAAGTACAAATTTTGATCCAGGCAGAAGCAAGCTACCTTTCAAAAGAACGGCTCCAATTTTTCTAATCTGTACAAATCCAAACAAGAGACCTGGAATATAGGTGTGGTGATGACTATTAAGGGTGTAGGATGACAGTGCAAGGGATAGAAAATTTGACCAGTCTTCATTTATTCATTTGGGCCTACAAAGGACAGGTTCATCATTCAGTGTTTCTGTTGGAGAGGTTAAAGGGATCACACAGTCTATTTGACTGCTTCACTGAAGCATGAATTACATTATGGTCTAGGTACGCAGTCTGAGTCTACCAGGTGCTCGGAGGGAGAAGGATGAGCAATCTCCTCCCATGTGATTAACTGCCTCTACAGACCTGCTGGAGGGTCAACTATGGGTCAGTTCCGACTCAATGATACACAACAACAACAACACTAAGTCAAGCGAAAGTATCATATGTTCAGAAGAAAGCATCTAAAGGCTTAGGAACAATGGCATGTTAGAGCAGATCCATCAGGTTAGATTTTTAGAACACCACATGGAATGCCCAGAGGGCACACCTGTTACCACAACGGTGAGGAGTACTTGTGTGAAGGGAGCCCCAGCACCTTGAAGACTGGTTATCCCCACTCAGTGAATTAAGACAACGAACTCTAACAATGAGACTGGGCAGGCGGACGCCTGGGGATAGAGGCCATGTGGTAACACTTAACAAAGCCAAGGTGGGCGCACCTACTGTAATGGACAGCATGTTCGGATTCATGGATTTATGGTGCTGGCTGGTTAGTCAAGAGACTCCTAGGAGTGAAACAGGTAAAGCGTATTTGTTTGATCTGTGCAAATGGAAAGAAGTCAAGGTCAAGGCATTCTCCCTTGAAGAGCCACAGCAGAGAATCAATGCAGTTAAAGGGCTGGAATTGCTATCTGGTCTCTTATTCTACTCCAACCTAGTTATTAAATCACTTGGAAGCTACCAGATTTTTGTTTGGTTTTGTTTCAAAAGCTACCGGTTTTTAAGAGCCCCGAACAAGACACGGTTCCCCCAACAGATTCAGCTGCTCTGAAAGCCCCTCCGCCCTCTGAGCCCTGGGATCTCGTGGTTTTGGTAGTTTCCGCTCCTGACGTTGCTGGTTTGCCTGCAGGCCAGCAGGACTAGTGGCAAAAGCAGATTTGTACCCAGGTCCAAATGAGGGTGACAGAAGAATCAGGGGCTTTCATTTGTGGTGTTGGAGAAGAGTTATGAATATCCATGGG